CTAAGTTTTCCTGATTATCTATTGTTCCTTGTGTACTTATCATAAATCCTGTCCTTGAATCAGACAACCTTCCCGTTTTCATACTTCAGGTGTCTTATACATCCCTTTTGAATCAGCCCTTCCCTGTGATACATAAGCCCTGGCCTGGGGGGCAATGGCACAAGGACCCATGATCTTGTCTTGCTGCCACCCAAGACACAGACATGGCTTCTGTTCATAGGTCTCCATTAAATGTTTCTAATAAACTAGATAAGTCAGCCTCTTTCTTCAGTCTCTTGGCTTCCTAGAGCTTTAGAGGTAGGTTTGCATAGACCTGCCCACTGTGAAACAGAGAACTTTAACACATTATAAAAGCAAGTTTAGATAAAATAGTTAAAGGATATGAGGGGCAATTTAAAATAATAGCAAAAAAGGCTTGTTCTCATTAGCAACAAGAAAGTAAATGAAAATTGTAGTATAAATGAAAATGGAAATAATAATTTGATAATGATACTTCAGTACTGTTTTATTTAATAAGCTGGCAACATTTAAAGGAAATTAAAATATCCAAGGTTGATAAGGATGTGGTAAGAAAGTAATCTCATTCCCTATTGTGAAATAATGACAAAAACTCTCTAAAATGCAATTAAGAGATAAGTATTAAAGTATCAACATCTAGGATATCTACTTTTAGGAATTTATCCCTAGGAAAGAATCAAGAATGTGCTTAAAGGTCTACTTATTGACATATTATTTATAAGAGTAAAAATCAAGGCTGGGCAACATAGGGATGAACCTGAGTAAAATAGGGAGATCCTGTCTCTATTATTAAAAGTTAGCCAGGCATGGTGGCACATACTTGATGTCAAAGCTACTCAGAAGAATGAGGCAGGAGGGTTGCTTGAGTTTAGGAGGTTGAGGCTGAAGTGATTGTGCCACTGTACTCCAGCCTGGATGACAGAGCAAGACTCTGTCTCAAAAACAAACAACAAACAAACATTTAAAGTCTCTAGGAATAGTCCTAAGCTGAGAGTTTGTGGTATTTTAACCACTCTGTCTCTGCATATTCCCAGCTCAGAGAGGCAGAAACTCCATTCCTGACTGCCGCAGCCAAGAACTTAGGGCTCCCTCTCCCCTCAGCTCTAAAACAGAGGATTATTCCTGGGATGAGCATCACTTTAGCATTCCTTATTCTGTCTCCTGCTGCTTGTTGCTGAGGCTAAGTGCAACTGAGAGGTGGGAGCTCCCCCCAGTTCAGAGCCTTGGCTCACAGATTTATTTACCTGAGAGGAGAAGCAGGTCATAAACAAAGAGTTTTGATCTCTTTCCAAAGAAACTGATTTAATTTGCAACAGAATATAGAGAAGTTTAACCCTAAGGGCACTCTCAAGAACAGTGGAGTTAGAGTTCAAAGACAATTGGGAGAAGATTCTTGAATCTAATGGAGATACAGCCTACACTGCAGGTTGGTTAGTAGGACACTAACCTGGCCTACATAGCAAGACTCTACCATTACAGGAGAGAACTAGATGATAAGGAAGCTGGGAGGAGCCCTCCCCAGGATTAGAACAAATATAATATAATGACTTCAGAAACTATTCCTTTAAAGAATCTGTGCTTGACTGGATTATTTTGTAGAGGAATTTATGCTCTGTTGAAGCAATACAGCAAAAAACAGGAAATTTCTGGAGGTTGTTAGTAGGTGTGGTCAGGGAAAGAGCGAAAGAGAGCCCTACAAACACCAAGGTCATTTCTGGGTGACTATAAGCATGCTCAAACTGCACCTCCATGTAGAGCAACATTAACATTACACTGTTGTCCTGGCATGGTGGCTCACATCTGTAGTCCCAGCACTTTGGGAGGTGGAGATGAGAGGCCTGCCTGAGCCCAGGGATTCAAGACCAGCTTGGGCAACTTGGCAAGACCTATACTAAATCAAAAAATTAGTTGGTATGGTGGCTTATCCTTGTAGTTTCAGATACTTGGAAGGCTGAGGCAGAAGGATTGCCTGAGCCCAGCAGGTTGAGGCTGTGATAGCCATGAGCATGCCACTGCACTCCAGCCTGGGTGACAGAATGAGACTTTGACTCAAAATTTAAAAAACACTACAGTGTTGAAGTGGGAAGGTGAAGTGATAAACTTCTAAAATAACCCAACCAATCACTAAACAAATAAGAAAATAACAAGAAAAAATCCCAGAGGGGGCGGGGCCAGTACTCAGAGATGCTATATATATTATCCAAAATGTCCAGTTCCAAAAAAAAAAAATTAGAAACATGCAAAAAAAACTAGAAATTATGACCCATACACCAGAAGAGCTGTCAGTAGATATTGCCTGCGAGAGTAAACAGATAATAAGATTTAGCAAAAATATTTTAAAGTAGTCATTATAAAAATGTTCACAGAACTGAAAGATAGCATGACTAAAAGAGTAAATGAAGGCCTGACATGGTGGCTCATGCCTATAACACAGCATCTTGGGAGGTCAAAACAGGAGGATCACTTGAGACCAGGAGTTTGACACTAATCTGGCCTACATAGCGAGACTCTACCATTACAAAAAAGTTTTGTTTAATTAAGCAAAGAAATAAATAAAAGTGTAATGACAATGCCACATTACATCAAATAAATAAGGAGATCAAAAATATGAAAAAAAGAGCCAAATGGGAATTCTGGAGTTGAAAATTACAATAAATGAAATAAAAAATTCCTTAGAGGGATTTGGTATGGTAGCTCATGCCTGTAATCTCAGTACCATGGGAAGCCTAGATGGGAGAATCGCTTGAGTCCAGGAGTTTGAGAGCAACCTGGGCAACATAACAAGACCTTGTCTCTACCAAAAAAGAAAAAAAGAAAAAAATCTGTAGAAAGCAGAAAATAAAAATCACTGAATGTATATTTTGAAAAAATTCCTTAAAGGGGCTCAACAGATTTGAACTAGAAGAAGAAAGAATTATCAAACTTGAAGTTACACAAGCTGAAGAAAAGAGAAGGAATAAAGAAGAATAGAGCCTCAGATAAATGTGGATATCAATAAGAACGCCAAATCCAATAATGGGAGAATCAGAAGAAGAGAGAGAAAGAGAAAAAAAATTGGTGAAATAAGAGCTGAAAATTTCCTAACTTCATGTAAAAACAATAACCTATACATACAAGAAGCCCAGTAAATTTCAAGTGTGATAAGCATAAAAAAAGCCAAAAACAGATACATCATAGTAAAAAATGCTAACAGTCAAAGACAAAAAGAAAATAACCAGTTTAATATATATTTGTCTATTTTTCATTTTCTGCATTTGTTTTTAAAATAAAATTTAAATCACACTTTTAAATAGTAAATTTTGTTTATATTTTAATTCAGAAACAGCTAGTAGTAAGCATCATTTGCTAGAGAACTTGATGGAGATATATAAAGACAGTTAAATAAAATTGTGGAGACTATATTGTAATTCGGAAAGACTTTATTATAAAAGTTGAAACACCAGGATATAAATTACCATCTAAATAAAAATATTTTAGTGCATGAACATAGATGAAACAGAAGGTGGAAAAAACTGACACAGTTGATTGATATGACTGGACTTTGGGATTGTGGAAGATAGTCTTGTTTACCTTTAACTTATTTATATTTCTCCTGTGATATGTGATACATAAAGTTAGATAAGGAAATAAATATAATTATCTTAAATGAGTGACAGAGCTTTCTGGAGCTGTAAATAAAGCCTCTCCTTCCTGCCCCAACAACACTCTGATCTTCCCACTAGATGTGCTCACATCAAGGTGTCTGTTGTGAGAAAAAGTAAACATCACTGATGTTCAGGAGTTGGCTTGGCACTCACAGGTCATAGTGCTCTCCTGATGAATACAGAGAACTTCATAGAACATCAGTATCAGATAAGGTCAAGCTGTGACTGTGATGGAGCATGATAAAACAAGACACGTCTATAATTATGTCTGAACACAAAAGAATCAATATTGTTCTAGTCACAAAAATGACCAAACATCCCCTATATTGACTGATGAGTGACTACTGCTTCTTTGCCAATGAGAGCTTTGGCCTGAATCTTCCTTCCTTCTAGATAAAATATATTAAAATACCCAGTGAGAGTTATCCATACTCTGTAATAGCATCTAATCCAGAGCAAAGACCCATTTCGAATTCCTCACCAACACCACACAAACCCAGGTCCTTTTTAGTACCCTCCCACTGAGACACCTCACTATTCCTTGTTATGAGTGATAAACCGAACTGATTCAACTACAGGGGTGCTCCCGGTGGCTTAGGTTGGAGGGCATTGACAATTGGAACCATCAAGTCATTTAATTAAAGAGTCTTTTTTCCACCTTTTACTTGAAAAGTCTATATCAAGAGTTTTGGGCTGGGGGCAGTGGCTCACCCCTGTAATCCCAGCACTTTGGGAGGCAGAGGCAAGAGGATTGCCTGACCTAGGGGTTTGAGAGCAGCCTGGGCAACATGGCAAGACCTCTTCTCTACAATAAGTTAAAATATTAGCCAGGCAGGCATGGTGGTGTGCGCCTCTGGTTCCAGCTACTTGGAAGGCTGAGGTGGAAAGATCGCCTCAGCCCAGCAGGTCAAGGCTGCAGCAGCTGTGAGTGTGCTACTGCATTCCGGCCTGGGCAACAGAGTGAGACTTTGACTAAAAA